GATGGATTTAATTTCTATTCATCACTTCAGTCAAATACAATTCCAACTGATTGAGATAACTTGCCCTGTTTTGACACCTCATTAGTCAGACCCTGAAACCTACTTTAGTTCTTGAGGCTCAATCATAAGTGTCAAGTGCTCAAGTTAAAATTTCACAAGCTGCATTCACAGTTGGTCTCCAGGGATTCTATAATCATGATAGGAGACCAGCAATCTCTGCAACATGGTCCTTCTGCTTGGAAATACTCTTCATTCATTCCCAGGGGTCTCCAATAAGCCCAGGTACCAGCTCAGCTTGCTTGGAAAGGCTGCCCTTAAACACCCAGGGTGAATCTCATGTGAAAACCAAGTTACTTAACTCACCCAGTGCTTACTGCACACCCATCACCTTGCCAGAAAGACCATATGCTTTGGTGAGATCAACAGTAGACTTTGAAGTGCACAGCCTGGATATCCATGAATGGGTGTCTGAAGCAGGTCGAGCCAAGCCAGCTTTGAACCCAGGGACCATGGCACCTGCCAACCAAGTCCAGTCCATTAGTTCCAAGCTGAAGTTTACTCATAAGGTGCCCTCGTGGCCACATGTGTTTGTGGGAACATGTTACTAGGAAAGCTCTGCACACTTGTGGACACACAGTTGTACACATATGTGCACACAAGTGTGTGTTATCCGTATTTCCCCTCACAAAAGCAGACTAAAAAGGCAAGCAACAAAAGAAAACTCATGAAGGCAGAGTAAAAGCTGCTCAGAAGGCACTGAGCCATGTGACTCATGGCTCCCCTGACTGCTCCAGGCCCTGGGCTTGTGGTTTGTCACCTCCCATGACCATTAATATGCTGGTATCAGCCCAGCATAGTGTCCCCCTGAAACCAAGCTGGGGTGGCCAGGAAGAAGGAGTTCAGAAAGGCCAAAGGATGGATGCTGAGTCTCGCAGGCCTGCTCTGTATACGTCGAGAATATGCAGAAGGGGCTGGGGATCTGCAGAGTGGACAGTGATCATGCAGTCCTAACAGAACCACCTGCCGCAGCCGCACCCCCATGACCATGTCTCACTGCTTCTCACCAAGGGGAGTCCAGACAACAGGCGGGTGACCAAAACTCCCTAAATAAGAGGCCTGGGTGCCTCGGGCTGGCTCCCACCATCCTGCCTTCTGAAGCCCAAGTGGCCGGAGCTGTGCCACAGAGGCCAGGGACAAAAACAAGACCAGTAAGCCTGAAAGCAGCCATGAGTTTCCAGCCATGGGGAAGTCAGGCAGGACACAGGGGTGGCTGGTGTGTTCCATGCTATCAGTCGGAGTTGGTGGCACAGCCTGCCCAGCACCCTGCAGTGGCTCCAGCTCTCCTCCTCCTGTCGTCTGTAGGGGCTGGCATGCTCCCAATGGCTCCCTCCCAGCGTGTCTGAGGGCTGGGTCAGGACACATGCACCAGCTGGGGACCTGCAGCCAGGTACCCTCCCTGTGGCCTCTGCACAGGGCCAGCTGAGGCTTCCTCGGACTGTGGGTATCTTAGCTTCCATGGCAGTGTTCCCTTTTTTTATTCTTTCTTTCTTTTTGAGATAGAGTCTCCTTCTGTCGCCCAGGCTCATTGTAGCCTCTGCCTCCCAGGTCAAAGTGATTCTCCCGCCTCGGTCTCCTGAGTACCTGGGATTACAGGTGCATGCCATCAGGCCCAATTAATTTTTTTCTATTTTTAGTACAGACGGGGTTTCGCCATGTTGGCCAGACTGATCTCAAACTCCCAACCTCAGGTGATCCACTCGCCTCAGCCTCTCAAAGTGCTGGGATTACAGGCATAAGCCACCGCGCCTGGCCCCATGGCAGTATTCTGAGAGAAGAGGATGCTGTCCTCCTTAAAGGCTGGGTTCAGAGCTTGCCAGTTCCCCTTCTGTCCATGCTAGGAGTCAAAGGAGTCACACAGGTCAGCCCAAATTCCAAGGGGTGGAGAAGGGACCCTTTGGGAAGGGAAAGAGCACCCGGGGGAAGGCACTTAAGGCACTGTCCTGAGACAAGCTGCTGCACGTGGAGGCCCACACTCCAGCAGCCTGAGCCACCAGGTGGCCTTTAGATGACTCGGCTGCGTGACTCTGATGTTCAGAGCTCATCTTGCCAGCAACCCTTGAAGACTCAAATTGGTGAATCACTGTTTTTCTCTAATTCCAAACAGTCGCTGATGTTTTCTAACCCATAGACAGTTGAAGCAAACCATATTAATTACGGTGCTTTTGCAGATGTGAGCAACTTAACATTTAAAGAAATCACAAGCTGCTGGCTCAGCAGTGTTTTAGGCTCTGAAACAAGCTACTTCATTGTCGCTTTCTTTGCTATCAGCTGATCCCTAAGTCAGATTCTCTGTGCTGACTTCCACATCAGGCAAAATACCAGTTTTATTTATGCAGCTTGTTAATCGATAAGACATCAGCAGTCAATCGATAAGCATTCCCTCCTATGTTCTCATTTAATCATCATAGCATCCTTTAATGGCAGCGTCACTATCTCTGTTTTACAGATGATGAAGCAGAAGCTCATGGCAGTAGAGATACTTGCTCAAAGTTCTACAGCTCCTCCATGTGAGAGCCAGGGTTCAGGTCCACATGTCTGACCCCTACATGGGCGGCTCCCAGTGCTTAGGGTAGGACAGCCCTCTTTGTGTCCACAGTGGCACTAGGAAAGCCAATGTAGACAGTGCCTACCCCTGGATGTCGGTGTATCACCATCGCTGGCTCATGGCCACAGCTGCAACCTCCAGCAAACTCCACAGCCTTCTCTGGGTCTCTGTCCACCTGACCTGGCAGTGGGAGACTGAAGCCAAGCTCTTTGGCAGCAAAACACGGTTTGGTTGAAGATTGGTGCACAATGTGCATCATGTAGGTCATGAGGCTTTTATACCAGGTAATTTTCAAAAAGACAGTTTCATTTTTAGACAAACTCGTTGAACCTTCTGGGGCCTCTACCAGAGACAACATACAAGCCCAAACTAATACCAAAGGTGAGAAATGTTTTCCCTGTGGGTGGGCTCCCCAACGATTTAAGGCATTTTCATCAGTGTCAACAATTACACATAGAAGTCATATAACACACATCCCAAACACGCTCTGTACTCAGGGGTGCTCCGTACTCAGGGGTATGTCCACCACCCTTGCACCTGCATCGCTGCAGCCCTGCCCCCTCAGGGAGAGGCCTCCTGCTGATGAAAGTGCTCCACAATCCCTCGCACAGGGATCGGCATGGGCTCCAGGACTCATCCCCAGCGGCACAGTGGGAATCCGTGCACTGGTTGGTGGGCACCCACACACAAGGCTCCTGGGGCACAGGACACCCCAGGTTTAACCCCAGAGACACACAGCCAGGAGCCGAAGGCCATTCAGCAACATGAAAAAGTGCAAACTCTCCGAACTGGCATGTGACAAGGCTATAAAGTGTCAGTAAATTACTTCAAGCCAAAAACCAAACAGTTTTCTTGGTAAATTTTTTAAAACATTGACTAACAAAATTCCTTATCAGCCTCTGTGTATGTGGATATGTGGTATGTTCTCTCACAAACTTAGGCTAACAAGATACAAGATAAATTCCACCAGGTGTGTGGCTCAGCCTCCCTACGTGGGTGTCACAAGAGTCAGTAGTCAGCCCTCCTGTACTCCCCTCTTCCCAGACGCCTTCCTGCAGATTGGTCTGGGTTGCACATTCACTTTCACAGGGGAAAAGCCAAACACAAAATGATTCTCAAACACAAAAATCTCCCAGGAAGGTTGAAAGATTACCTATTTGGGTGATGGGTATGCTAAAACAGCACAGAAATATGGCCACCACTCCGAAATATGGCCACGTGACGAAACTGCACTTGTACCCCTTCCATCTATAAAAATAAAAATCAATAAATCTCCCACTTTCTACTGCTCTCAACCCCTTCACCTTCAAGGAATAGGGAAGTTATTGGATTTTTTCATATTATTTTACGGGAATCTGTAATTTCACTTACATATATCTTTAAAAACATTTAAATTTCTTATTGGCTTTAAACAAATCACGTTTAATCATTTGAAATTCATTAGGTAAAATTCCTGGAGCACAGCTGTCATGCCTATTTCTAAATGATGGGATTTAGGGTGGACTCAGAGGGCTCCCCCAGGCATGCAGACACTACCCGGCCAGCCTCGGGCAGGAAGGCACCTCTTACACAACAAAAATGCAGCGTCCACCCAGGATCTCGTCCAAACCACTGCCCAGACTTAGCCTAACTCACGGTCCACGCAGACACTGAGATCACGTTGTTTTGTGCCTGCTCCAAGAACATCATCTCCATTTCAACAAAATTTGAGAATTCCACTTCCCCAGATGGGAGTGGGTGGCTTCACTGCCAACTGCAACCTCGCTGAATCATCTTTGTCACCTCCACCAGTCCTTCTGAGTTTGTGGGTTTTAAACCAGATTCTTAACACACGCCTCTGAAGCCTAAAGCAACGCTTCCGAGGCAAGGAAGAAGCAGTGACCAAAGATGGAAAGTGAGGAAGGCTTGGAGACCGAGTCAGAAGGCCTCACTTTACAGAAGGGAAAGCCGCTTAGCCCCTGTAAAGTTGTGCACAAATCACACAGCCAATCCTCATTTCCAGCTCCAAGATCTCTCTCCCATGCTACAGTGTTGGGTTGACACCTCATGATAAATGCTGTCACTTCTTCGACACAAGTTCAAAGGAAGCCCCGTGTCCGTGGCAAGATTGACTACTTCTGCTTCAGATGTATCAACTAAAAATAGAGTACCCAGGTCTTAATTGTTTACTTTCCATTTTGCTAAAAATTCTCATCATGGAGTCAGAAAAAAAAATCACGTAAGACACCATAGGAGGCAAAGCCCATGTGCGCATCACCTGTGGGCAACTGCACAACTGCTGATTGGAAGCCCAGAATGAGATGAAAATCAGAAACCTACAAAACTTTCAAAACAAAAAACGCAACTCAGCATTAACATTTAACTCTTACTGCAGCAACTTTTGAGAGTGTTTTACCAGAAGATGTTTGTGTCCACAGCTGCTATTTGTCCACCTGACTGCAAGGCCCTGTGACAGCCTTTCCTCCCCTGTCACCATCTGGTCCCGTGGGTAGAATGCTCTGTATTCAGGGTGCCTGGCTCTCTGTGAAGGCCAAGAGCTTAAACAGACCCTGGAATGACAAAAGCGAGGTTGTCACAGGTCACATTTTTCAAATTCTAAAAGCCTCAGGCCCATATGAGTGGGGAAGCTGGGACTGGATACCCCCTGTTCTCCAATGCCATCCCACACTGGGGCTTCTGGGGTGCGCATCCCTGCTCTGCCCCTCACACAAGCCCTCTCCAGGGAAGCTTCCTTGGCTTTCTTTTCCCCCATCTGCTGGCTTGCTATGAGCCTGTCCCACACCCCCTGACTGGAATGGAACTCCATGGGGACAGAGCTTCCTGGGTTTCCCTCACTGCTGTTCCCAGAGTCTGAGCAATCTCTGGCATGGTGCTCAACAGATATCTGTTGAATGAATGAATGAAGCGAGGTCTTCCATGAAAATAATAAGAATCGTGGCACTTTTGCCAAGGTCCCCAGGCATGTTTAGATATATGTGAGCAAATCAGACAAATTATTTTATGATTACAATAACTAAAATGTCAGTGTGCCCATCTGTGCCAAGTTCAGCTCCCAGTGCTGCACAAGTGTGATTTCACTGAATTGCCACAGCAATACTGTGAGATGAGCACCAGTGTTAATTTTCCTCTACAAAGAAAAAACGCCCAGGGAAACCCAGCCAATGATTTCAAACCTAGGCAGTGCTGCCAAACCCCCCAGTACAGGAAACATGGGCTATGGAGTGGCCTCGTGCAGTAGGTTCTCGGCGACGTTGCTGGGGGGTTGGGAATCTTTCCTGTTGCGCTTTTTCTGAAGTTCCTAGCGCAAGGTGCTGCCACAGGTGTTGCCCCTTGGGTGCAGTTCGGACGCGCAGTACTGGGCCAGGCCAACTGTGTGCCTGCAGGCGGTGGAGCTCGGGCTCCCATTCCGGACGCCCTTCCCCTACGCCTAATGCCCTAGGGGAGGAAGATGGGTGCGGGTGCTCTCAGACCCTCGGAGAGAAGACAGGCCGCTCCCACCCAGAAGCAGGGTCGGCACAGCCCCTGCCCTGCCCAACCCCCTGTCCACCGCGCCTGCCTTGCCTGCGCGCGTCCACGTTTACCCGTTTCCCTGCCCGAAAGCCTCCAGCCAACAAGAGCGTAGGTAAGAGCTCGCGGCACAAAAGGGATAAAAGTGGCAATGGTTTAGCTGAAGCAGGAATGGAAACAAAGAGCACCACTCCCCTGCCCTTCTCTCTACTTCCCATGGCAACCCCCCTCGCCTCTTCCAAGGGCGGGCTGAACACGGTGGCCCCACCACCCAATGAACACCACACACAGGGGGCGCTCGGGAACTGTCAGATTCCCAGGTCACAGCCCTATTTACCGTTGGCCGGGCTCTGGGCGGTGGCTTCACACACTTCTGGATGTGGGTCCAGAACCGGAGAGTTCACGCCAATTGGTGCCTGGTCTCTTGTGCAGTCCGCCCAGCTCAACTACTCTGTAAGTACTTCAGTTTAGTTTCACTAAAAGAGTGTTTGAGACGCATAAAAAGGCCTCTTCACCCAGTTTAAGAAAGAAAATTTTTACACATACGGCAGAAGTCCATGCGCGCTCCTCCAGGATCCTCTCCTGAGGTCCCCTCTCCTGCTTCAGGTGTTGACCATTCCCAAGCACGTTCTTTCACTTCGTGTGTGATGTGTAGACAGACAGACTGTTGGGTGGATGCAGAGATGACAGACAGATTAGATAAATAATAGAGAGAGAAAGAGAGAGAGAGAGAGATGAATGGATATCACAGATAATAGAAAGGTAGAAAGAGTTGGTATATAGAATATGAATATGTATATGCCCCAAAGACATTTATATCACTGTTTAATATGCTTGAAACTTATATAAATCATATTGTGCTGTAAATACCCTGCACGTTTCTATTTGCATACAACATGTTATTGAAAAATTTTCCATGTTATTGTGCACTCTTCCTTTATTCATTTTCTCCACTCTATTTCATTCAATGGTCTGAATATATGAAGATTTATTTTAAAATAAATAAAATATATATCTTTCACAGTCTTTCCTTTTTGTATCTTAAAAATATTACCCTACCCAGAAGTCATAAAGCTATTTTCCCATATCTTCTTCTAAAATTTTTTAATGAGTTTTTGAGACTGGTGTGGAGTAGGAATTTAAATTTTTCATTTTTATAACCAATTGTTCCAGTGCCACTCCTGATTTATAATGTCTCCTATTTCATATATCAAGCAGTCTTATTTTTATCCATCTCTTTCTAGACTCGCTAGTCTTAGCCATCAGTCAGGTTGTTGATATCTATCTATAGTGCTAATTATTAAAGCCCTATTACAAATCTTAATATCTGATAGATGAGTCCCTCCATTTTGCTCTGTTTTTTAAAAAATTATCTTGGCTATTGTATTAGTAAGCTACTGCTTCATAACAAGCCATTTCAAAAATTAGTTAAGGTCTTAGGTATTTATTTTCTTCTCCAAGCCTGAGGTCAGCTGTTTGGGCTGAGCTCAGCTGGATGGTTCTTCTGATCTAACCTGAGCTGGCTCACACATCTGCAGCTAGCTGGCCCTAGGGCAAAGAGGAGAATTAGACTGTCTTTCATTGCGCATCTGGCTTAGCCACAGCAAAGGCAAGTAGCAAGAGACTGAACAAAACACACAAAGCCTCTTGAGCCACTCCCTACTGGCCAAGGCACGTCATGAGGGCAGCCCATACCCCAAGGATAGGGAAGGGGCTTCCTTGGTGCAGGGAGTGGCCAGCTCACATTGTCAAGGGCACAGAGGCAAGGAGCATGAAGACTGAGCTCATGTGGGAAACCAACCTTTACTACTCCATGTAAATTTTAGAAGCAGACTTTTAAGATCACAAAAATAACCTCTGTTGGAATTTGTTGCCAGATGGTTAAATATTTTTGTAATTTTTCACAAAGTGCCTTTTAAAAATTCGTTCTTAAGTGTTTATAACTGAGGTATGGGAGTATAATGGAGTACTGTACTTGATCTGACCTTCATTAACCTTGCTTAGCTATTATTACTTCTAATAATTTACCCACAGATTTTCTTAGACTTCTTGTAGGACTTTTCTTGTAGGAAAGTACTTCCATTTAATGGCACTATTGGGAGGATGCCTTTAAAATTGCACGCTCACATCAGAGCTGCTGCAAAATGACTGGTTTTATTGGGACCTTTTGCTTGCTTAAAGACACTTAGTAACCATCTTCAGCTCACGTGGTGATTCTGCCTCGAGCAGTAAGAGGAGGCAGTGGTCAGGATGAAAGACTACACTGCAGGCCATTTTCAATTTGGGGGGAAAAATAGGTACAGATAATTCAGGAAAAACTGTGACCATAAAATACTTTACATTCAGCATAGAACTTAATCCCACACATGTAGGGAAAGGGCCTCTTCTTGGTATGAGGAGTGGTAGCTCACAGCTCTGCAGATCTTGTAAGTGGGCAAGACTTGACTTGAGTCCCCACCTGCCTGGCTTTCCCCTGGCACGTTCTCTCCCCATAATTTCTTCTTCAGGCAGCTGCCATTGCCACACCTCTCCATGCCCAACCCTGCACCTGCTCCAGGCTGCCCTAATCTTCAGTACTCTCCCTCACAATCCACCATTGATGAAAATGACCCAGGTCTCTGCACCTGTCCTCTGTGGTACTTAGTGAACTTTAGTGATGTACATCACACTGATGTAGTTTGACAGTGCTCCTTCAAAGATATTGCACTCATGATGGTTGAAACAGTTTGTAAGTTTATCCCCTCCAAATCTCATGTTGACATTAGATCCCCAATATTGGCGGTGGGCCTAATGGGAGGTGTTTGGGTCATGGGGGTAGATCCCTCATGAATGGTTTGGTACCATCCTGTCCCGTGGTAATGAGTGAGTTCTCACTCTGTGAGTTCACAGGAGAGTTGCTTGTTTAAAAGAGCCTGACACTTCCTCCCCTCTCTCTGGCTCCCTTTTGACACACCTGCTCCCCTCCCCCTTCCACCATGATTGAAAGCTTCCATGGCCGAGCACAGTGGCTCACGCCTGTAATCCCAGCACTTTTGGAGGCCGAGGTGGATGGATCACAAGGTCAGCAGATCGAAACCATCCCAGCTAACAAGGTGAAACCCCATCTCTACTAAAAATAGAAAAATTAGCGGGGCATCGTGGCAGGTACCTGTAATCCCAGCTACTTGGAGGCTGAGGCAGGAGAAGTGCTTGAACCCAGGAGGCGGAGGTTGCAGTGAGCCAAGATCATGCCACTGCACTCCAGCCTGGGCAACAGAGCAAGACTCCATCTCAAAAAAACAAAAGAAAGCTTCCTGAGTTCCCTTGCTAGGAGCAGATCGCAATGATTCTTGTACAGAACTGTGAGCCAAATAAACTTATTTTCTTTGTAAATTGCTCAGCCTCAGATATTTCTGTATAGCAATTTCTTTGTAAATTACTCAGCCTCAGATATTCCTTTATAGCAATTCCTTTATAGCAATGGACTAACACAAATGGCTTCCTCACTCTCTAGAATATTGCTGTGCTTAGGAGTGAGTTAAGACAGATGTCAGGAAGGAGGATTTGCATTTTAAAATCTCCCTAGGTTGTTCTATCATAGTAACTCTCTCTATGGATCCCGGTTTGGGAATTATGGATGTAGATTGGTTTCCCAAAGTAAGTCCTGCAGAACACTTGTACCACAATATTTCATAAAAATGAAGTTTCTTAATCAGAGTTTGGAGTGATGAATAGTATATGCCCTGCTTCTTTTTTTTTTTTTTTTTTTTGTCGGGGGGGGGGGTTTTTTGTTTTTTTTTAAGATGGAATTTTGCTCCTGTTGCCCAGGCTAGAGTTCAATGGTGCGATCTCAGCCCAGCTCACTGCAACCTCTGTCTTTGTTCAAGTGATTCTCCTGCCTCAGCTTCCTGAGTAGCTGGGATTACAGACATGTGCCACCATGCCTGGCTAATTTTTATTTTTAGTAGAGACAGGGTTTCTCCATGTTGGTCAGGCTGGTCTCGAACTCCTGACCTCAGGTGATCCACCTGCCTCGGCCTCCCAAAGTGCTGTGATTACAGGCCTGAGCCACCGCAACTGGCTGTCTATGCCCTTCTTGAAGATCACAGCAATTTACATACCAAAGCTCTGACATAGCCTTCAGTGAGGAAATCTGCTTAACCTTCTACCTGGAGTACTTTTTCCCTCTGATTAACACCTGGTGACTTCTCACTGTCTCGAGTCCCACAGGAACACCCATGGAGAAAAACATCCCTGGGTTCATAGACTATGCAATTTGCAAGACCCCTAGGTCACCTTAGACTAAGCTCTTTGACATTATTCTTGACAGTTGACCAACTGTCTTCTACTGGAATGGGGACCTGTCTGTCTACCCTTGTATTTCTCAAAAGTTCCAATTTTTAGAAAGTTCTTTGTGTTGAAGTAAAATCAGACTCATGTAACTTCCATCCATTAATATAACAGCTGTTAGGCAGGGATCTACATCCGGCATGGCAGCACCACTCTCCCTCCATTTTGCTCTGTTTTTTAAAAAATTATGACCCTTTGTTTGAGCAGGCCCTTTGTTCGAGACTTCCCTTCCTCTTTGAACACACCTTCAGACTTACATACGTCAGAGGTTCCGGCTGGGCAACCACACTCCCCCATGACCTGCAGCTCACCTGCATTCCACGAGTTCGTAAACAGCAGTTTCGGTTAACAGTTTCCAAAGACCCCTTCCTCGTGAC